TTTTTTTTTTACCTTAAACCGCATAAACGCATTTCATTACACCAAATACACACAATAATGTTCTTTTTAGCAGCATCATATGACCCCTTTAAATATAAACTCTTGAATATAAAATATTATATCTTTTATATTTGCAATTCAGACTTTTTTTCCTCAGAATTCTAACATTGTGAGTTTCAACTCAGAATTCTGACTTTAATTGTCAGAATGTTAAGATTTAAATTGCATTCCGAGATACAAAGTTGCAATTCTGACTTTAAAACATAGAATGCCAGTTACAGACTCAATTTGGAGGAAAAAAATCTGATTAGCAACAAACAAACAAAGGGAAAAAAAATAGCGAGATGTTGGCATTGAGATGAGGATCATTCATTTTATATGGTGATACTTTTCCTTTTTTTTAATTCATTCATTTTTGATTTTTTTAATGTTTGGGAAATGTGGTGAGTTGTCTTTATTTTATGTATCTATTTATTACATATGGGAATATTTATTTGTTTATTTTTAGCAATTTTTGCTGAACCAAAATTTTGCTTTATTTTGAGATGTTAACTCAAAATAGTAAGATACAAACTTGGAACACCACGCATGAATGCATGCAGATCCACAGATCCATATTTTGGCCTGTCCTGTATTGTGTTGACCTGTGCCATGCTGATGATGGACCCCTCTCTGTGCGCGTCTCTCTCCATGACTCGGCTGGCTTCTCTCTCGGCGTGCTCCTGACGCAGTTTCTCCTGCGCGTGAAAGCGGCTCCACTCGGCCGCCAGTTTCCTGCGCTCTTCGGCACAGTGCTGCATGACGGACTGCTGCTCCTCCAGCAGAGCGCTCTGACACACACACACACACACACAGATGAGCCCCAAGCCATCAGCGCTGTGTGTCTTCATTTAATTACAGTGTGATCTAGCCTTGTATGATACTTTTACAGAATACAGTACTGGAATTAAATGATGACGTTCGTGGTAATATTACTTTAATACTTATTAGTTTAGTTGGTTGACCTGTAAATGATCTTCTTCTTCCTGTACGACTGCAATAAAGAGCTTGTGTGATTCATTGCCAAAAAATGTATTTATATATAAAATTAAAATTTACATTTTCTGGCTCTATATATATATATATATATATATATATATACATGCTGAACTGTTGCATCATGGTCCGTCTCTCCTCCTCCAGTCCTCGCAGAGATGATTCAGCTTTGGCCTGTTCTGACATCACCCGCCAGCGCTCCTGAACACACGAACCACCGTAACATCATGTTAAACATCTCACATGTTTATTTTAATGCTTAATCCATATTCAGACTAAATATGTCATGTGGATTCAGAGGGGTTTCTGGACCTTCTCCAGCTGTCTCTGCTGCTCGGCCAGCTGTGTGTCCATCTTGGCGATGACCTCCTTGAGCCGTGACCTCTCTTCGGCCATCTCACGCTGCTGCTGGCTCAAACGCTCCTGCAGAACTGACAGCGAATGACAGATTCAGATCCACTGAACCGTTCCGCACAGATCTGGAGATGTTTGTTCTTGTGTTCGTACCTCTGAGCTGTTCGTCTCTCTGTCTGGCTCCGATCTCCAGTCCCTGCGCCGTGTTTTCATGCGAACTCTCCACTCGAGACGAGAGATCGCCCAGCCTGCGGGAGAACTGCTCCATCTGCTCGATGACCACCGTCAGAGACCTGAACACACACACACAGAAGCTCCATGAGATCTGGCTCAAACCGCTGATGGACATCTCATCTGTGACGTGCAGCACCTGGTCTGTGAGGTGGCGCTGGTCACCGCGTCGATCTCCTCATCCTTCAGTTTCTTCAGACGGAGGATCTGTTCTTCATGATCTCTCTTCATCTCCAGGATGGACTTCCTGTGACACATGTGAATGACACAAGCCTGTTTTACACTCAGGTGGGTTTGTTACTTTTTTTTCTGTACCCATTTTAAAGAAGGACTCAACTTTGTGCTAAAAGTGTGTGCATCACCTCTGCAGGTCTCTGAGTCTCTCCACCGCTCTGTCTCTGTCCTGCTGGCACTGCGCGAGTCTGCGCTGATGCTGCACCTGCATCTCTGCTCTCTCCTGCTCCACCAGACGTGTGACCGCAGCCAGTCTCTCCGCCAGGTCCTCGTTCTCCTGCCGTGAGCGCAGCTCTCGCTGAGCGGCCGATTCCTCCAGCAGCTTCACACGAGCTCTGAGACGAGAGCACATTCATCACACCAAATGACACTCTTACAGGTGTGTGTGTGTTACCCGTGTTATCACTACTGCTGCTGTGTGTGTTACCTGCTGTGTGTATTACCTGTGTGTTCCCGCTGCCTCTGTATGTGTGTGTTACCTGTGTGTTACTGCTGCTGTGTTACCTGTGTGTGTGTTACCGCTGATGTGTGTGTGTGTGTGTGTACATGTTTTTGGTGGGTACTTAAACCTGAATACACACTAACTCATGGGGACTTGTGTCACTGTGGGGACCTAAATTGAGGTCCCTGTGTTACCTGTGTGTTATCGCTGCTTCTGTGTGTGTGTGTGTGTGTGTGTTACCTGTGTGTTACCGCTGCTGTGTGTGTGTGTTACCTGTGTGTTATCGCTGCTTCTGTGTGTGTGTGTGTGTGTGTGTTACCTGTGTGTTATCGCTGCTTCTGTGTGTGTGTGTGTGTGTGTGTTACCTGTGTGTTATCGCTGCTTCTGTGTGTGTGTGTGTGTTGTGTGTGTGACCGCTACCTCTGTGTTACCGCTGCTGTGTGTCTTACCTTTGTTACTGCTGCCTCTGTGTTACCACTGCTGCAGTGTGTGTGTTACCTGTGTGTTACCGCTGCCGCTGTGTGTTACCTGTGTGTTGTCGCTACTGCTGCAGTGTTACCTGTGTGTTACCGCTGCCTCTGTGTGTGTCACCTTTGTGCTACTGCTGCCTCTCTGCATGTGTTACCTGTGTGTTACCGCTGCTTCTCTGTGTTACATGCACGTGTGTGTTACCTGTTTGTTACCTGCATGTGTGTTACCTCTGTGTGTGTGTGTGTTACTTGTTTATTACCTTTGTGTGTTACCTGTGTCTGTGCATGTGCACACGTTACCTGTGTGTGAGTGTTTGTGTGTTACCTCTGCATGTGTGTTACCTGTGCATGTTCTCCATGAGCTCAGTGTCTTGTTTGTGTCTCTGTTGAATGCTCTCTAACAGCATCTGATTCTGGTCTCTCTCCAGCTGTAAACTCCTCACCTGAACAGACGCACGAAAGCTCAGTTACTGCATTCAGCTGGAGTCTCTTGAACAGTCAACACGTCTGAGGTAACTGTACCTGTCCCTCCAGCTGAATGATGCGTTTCTGCAGTGATGTCACGTCATGCTGATGGTCTGTGTCTCTGAGTCTCTGTGAGTCCAGAGAGCCGCTGAGACCCCACAGCTGAGACTGAGCCAGCTACACACACACAACCCTTCATTAGTTTACATGAATCACCCTTACAGCATGTTTCGTATTATATCTGTGTGTGTGTGTGTGTGTCACCTGCTGCTGTATGAGTAGCTGCTGTAGACCACCTGCAGACAGAGGAGCGTGTGTTTGTGTCGCAGGTACAGCGCCATCTGCGGGTGACTTCTGTGGAAACACTGAACCAACAGCAATTTTAAAATCACATTCATATCTACACATTTTAGGACCTACAAGATGTTTTACATTAACATTATTTGCAAGACAGTTAAGAGCAGGCTCGCCAATTCTCATTTACGTGAAAACATTTTTATTACTGAAATGTAAAATGTTTTTATACATCATGGTATTATTACTATTATTATTTAATAATACTACTATTTACTACTATTAATACTTTTTTTTTACTTTTACTATTTCAATTTAATTAAAAAAATTAATTAATATAAAACAATTTAATATTAATTTGTTGGTTTTATTTATTTATTTTTTATTAAAAATAACATTTTATAATTCATTTTTACATTAATACAGTAATGAGCCACAATAAAAAAAAAAATCCATTCATTCATTAATCCAGATGCATCACCGTAATGAGAATTTGGGGTTTAAATGTGACTAACTGTTATGAAAATGTCACAGTGGAAAAAAGTCTTAATGGTCCTATGGAATATGTTTTCGTTTATGCAATATAATTTCCTATTTCCTTAATATTTGTGTGTTGTCATGTTTTCATGAGTCATGATAAACTCCTGCTCTACACTAGTAGCACCTACTCCACACTGCAGGGGGCGCTACAGCGGGCACATGCCACCCCTGGATGGGGTTTTAGGGGGGCGTCTCTGTCTGGATGTCCCGTCCTGTGAGATGCAAGGATTTCTGAGCAGATGACTGGGTTATTACAGGTGAAGGAGTGAATTGTGTTGTTTAGGGATGAGGTCTGTTTTATAGGGTTGTTTTAGGGCGTTTGATGGGTAAGAGATGCTGCAATGGTGTTTGAGAGGAAACTAACCTAATAACTAAGAAATGAGTGTGACCCGACAGATGGCTATTATGATGATTTTCCATGACATTTCCAGATTTCTTTTTTAAAGAGAAACTTACTAATTTACAAAGGAGTTTGTGAAAATTTGTGAACTATCCCGCTAAATCAAGAGGTTCTCAACCTTTTTGAGTCCAAAACTATATTTTTAGGCCCCATGACTTAAGCAGTCATTCACGATTTAGCAGATAGGGATTAAAAAAAATACTTTTACTTAATTTCTTAAAAAACAAACAACAACAACAAAAAACATAACTATAAAATGTATATTAACTATTAAAATTCATGATGGCATTTTTAAATTTTATTAACTTCCATGACTTTTCCAGGTCTACAAATCACTTTTAAAGTGAGGCTTCCTCATATATTCAGGTTTTACAAAACAGTGGGAATTTTGGTTCTTCAAAGGCAAAAAATTAAGTCTTCTTGAGGCCTCCTGATTGAGAACCGGTCATCTAAATCTAACATGGATTAAAGGGATAGTTTACCCAAAAAATCCAACCAAACAGTTGACGGCAGCCATTCACTTCCATGGTATGGAAAAATACTGTGGAAGTCAATGGCTACCGTCAACTGCTTGGTTACCCACATTCTTCAAAATATCTTCTTTTGTACTTTTGTGTTTTCTTGTGTTTCTTGCCAATGAAATTACTTCAAAATGTCTAAATTACTAACATTTATATTCCCAATGAAAAATTTCAGAAATGGAAATCTCAGTTTTAAAACTCCCTGATATTTTCTGTGACTAGAAACCCCAGAGGAGTGCGATGTTTGATGTTTCACTGTACCGGCTTTGTGTTGAGTTTCTGAGCTCGTGTTGTGTTGGATGGAGACGCCAGCAGACTCTCTGCAGGAAAACACACACACACTTGATTTAGTCCGGTGTAAATCACATGACCACATTTACAGCAGTGACTGACTCTGTGTTGACTGTACCTGGGATCTGTGTTTGGGACGGGAGACTCGTCCTGTCGTCTTCGTGGGGCTGAAGACACGTTTGATTTAGAGCTACAAACACATCACACATTTGAGCAAGTCTCAGTGCATCCTGATCCATTCCCACCCAACATTCATTACAAACGCTCACCTGAGAAACACGTCCACTTCCTCCCCCAGACCTGATGAAACGTCCTGTTTCCTCTCTCTCTCCTCTGATTGGCTCACTGACTGTGTTTTCTTGCGGCTCAGTGCACCGGTGAGCCAGTCGTCTTCCTCGTCCTCGTCTCTCTTCACTGGTTTTGAGATGGTTTTAGGAGACGAGGGTGCAGCAGGTGGATCTGCTGTCTTTAAAGCGGGCGTCTCTTTTCGGGCCTCTGTGGACGGTGATGCCGGAGGCTTCAGGGTCTCTGGTTCTAAATGTTTGGGTTCCTCCTTCATCTTTTGCTCCTCTTCGTCCTGCTTCAGGCCGAGCCAGTCTGATCTGGGCCGGGCGGCGCGTGTGGAGGGTTTGGGTTTGTGTTCGGGTGAGTGAACGCTCACATCTTCAGTCGAGAATCTGACACCATACAGAGCAACACAGAGTTAGATTTAATCAAACTCTATATAGTTATATAAATATATTGTTAAACTGTTTTTTAATTAATACAGTAAAAACTATTTATTTTTGCCGCATTATTATTAGGATAAAATCTACTGATGGCGTTGTTGTTAATTGTTGTTTTTGAAAATTTTAATGAATTTTGAGTAAATATTGTGTAAAAAATAATAATAAACTTTGCATACATCTTGTTGTATTGTGTTAATTGGTAGACATGAAATAATTTTAAGAAGTTGACATCTTGCATTTTTAGTAATTAAAAAATGAAAAAGTAACTATTTTACGTTTAATTGTGGAGCATTCATGCATTATTGTACTTTTTTATTGCCTTTTAATGAATTGATTTGAATTTATTAAATTGTAATTATATTAAAAGTATTTTGTATTAATACAGTAAAAATGTTTAATTTTACTGCATTTTTATTAGGATAAAATCTACAGATTGCATTGTTATTGATATTTTTGTTTATTTTTGAATATTTTAGTGAATTTTCATTAAATGTTGTGTAAAAGAATACATTTTCTGTGCATATTGTGTAGGAAGTTGACATCTTGCATTAGTTAACGGAAAAATGATGGAAAGAATATAAAAATAAAATATAAAATAAAAATATAAAAATAATATTTTTCATCAGTTAAGTATTCCTACAAATATGGTTATTTTTTTCTTGTATTAATTGATTTTAATGTATTTTTTAATTATTGTATTAAAGGTTAATTCACATTAATACAGTAAAAAATTATTAATCTGTACTGTATTAATGTAAAAATTTTACTGTTTATTTATTTTGGATAAAATCTACAGATAGCATTATTTTGTTGTTTTTGAATATTTCAGTACATTGAGTAAATATTATGTAAAATTTTGTGTACATCTTGTATTGAGTTAATGGGTAGACATGAAATAATTTTAGGAAGTTGAGATCTTGCATTTTATGTCTTTTTTTTTGTTTTTCAGATAATTTCGTGAATTAGTGTTTGCTGTAATCCGACTGTATTATTGTTTAGACATTAAATGCTTCTGTTAAATTGACACATCTTGTGCTGTGACATGTTAGTAGTCCTGTACATTAACGTGTCTCACCTGACAGACTGTCTGCGGGACTGACGGCCCTCTGGAGTCGAACCCATGGTGGGCTGATAGGAGCCGAACGTGAAGTCCTCCTCATCCATCAGAGAGGCTACAGAGAGAGCAGGACCAGCGGTTAGTGCTTATTCACTGATTTCAAGAGCTTCATGTTCATTTATGCATTTGACAGATGCTTTTATCCAAAGAGACTTGCACTGCATTCAAGATTACCAGTTTATGCGTATATACCCTGGGAATCAAACCTATGGCTTCCATGTTGCAAGCGCCAGGCTCTACAGTTTGAGCTATTGTTTTTAGCTGTGATATGATCTATAACTTAAATGACGTTGCAGTTGTTTAGTCTTTCTCGTATAATTCGAGTCACAGTAATCTGCTTTGGTAGGTGAGCATCAATTGAGATTGTCACCTTTTCCAGCTGAGCTCTTCTCCGGAGGTTTCTCCGTCTGTGTCGTGTCTCTCTTCTCTCCCGTGACGGGTCTCTCTAGCAGACGAGGAGACGTCCCTCGGCCCAAGATCTCGTCCAGTCGTGTGCGAGCTCTCAGAGGAGCATCACTGATCGCAGAGGACAGAGGACAGAGATTCAGAAATCATGTCAGGTTCAGTGTCATAGTTCTCTACAAATAATCCAAACAATCAGAAAACACTTCCGCTTCATTCAGAACATGGTGCTTTTTCCACTTCTGAAGTTCATTTCTGGAAGATTTTACACATTTTTGTCATAAAATGATAATAAATTGCATTATGCCACCTCAAGCTAAATTAATATATATTGGGATATAAAACTTTGCGTTTAGAAAGGAAACAAAGCTGCCAGTGCATTAAGTCGGAGTACTACAAGTTATCACCAAGATGCTGATGCTGATATTTTTACTAATATGCACTAATTTATTATATTTTTTTAAATATTATAAATATATGAACTATTTCCCCGCCAGCGTTTTGAAAAAGGTTGCCAGCCACCGCCAGCGTTTTTGATCATTTTCACTAAATTTTCATGGCCCCCAGAATATTTTATACATTTATAAATATCTGAACATGCAATACATCAAAATAAAGAACAGAGCTTCTACTTTTAAACAAAACAATCTGTTTTATTCTATCTTAAAGCATTCTTTTCATCAACAATTGAATGTAAGTAAATTTCATAAAAAAGCAACATTTTGAGCAAAAAGCTGAGAAAATCACGTTTTTATCAAAGACTACATCTGGATCATATTCAGAATGATGATCAAAAGCATAGATGCAGTAGATGCTTCACAGTTTTCATTCGGAAGATGCGTAAAAGCCGTAAAATCTCGTCTTTGGTGGGGAAGCGTTTACTCATAAAAGACGAGAACTCATCAATGGCGGGGAAAGAGTTAAAGGGGTCATATGATGCGATTTAAATTTTTCCTTTCTATTTTTGTGCTTGTCTTAAAAGCTTACAAAAAATTATCTGGAAATTAAAAAGGCACTGATTATTGAATGAACCTGCAATATTTTGGAATTATTTAGATAATAATAATAAAGTATAAATTAATTATAAATTAAATAATGTAATGCTTAATGTCAAGTCAAATGTATTTATGTAGTGCTTCACTATACACATCATTTCAAAGCAGTTTTAAATAAAGTACAGTTATGACTATAATCTATGTATAATCTAAAAGTAACAGAGTAACATTTTTTTTATGGTCCCATATTGTTTATTTAAATTTTGGTATAAATGGGACATTTAAGGCAGCTCAAACAAACCCGGTTTCATCCAAACCTCCTAAACGCTCCCAGTATTCAGCCAGCAGAGGTGTGCAGACATACTCTACCTGTCTTTTTTCTGTGTCTTTCCATTTCCTTGTGTTTTGTGTGTTTCTCCAAAACCCAGAGCGTCCATCAGATCATCTTCACCATCTTCAAACATCAGATCTTCCCTCTTCTTCACAGCGGCTGCTGGAGATGCTGCTAAAACGCATGTAAAACAGAGAGAGACGTTACAGAGCGGCCGCTGGGTTTATCTTCAGTTATAGTGAGCCAGATCTCTGAGACGTCACTGCTCTCTCACCCGTCTCTGTTTTCTGAGGAGCGGCTGGAGAGGAAGAGGACGGCGGCTCGCTTTTCTTTTTCTCCGTTGTCGTCTTCTGCTTGTGTTCCAGGTCATCCAATAAATCATCTAACGAATCGTCCACTTTATCTGTGAATCATAAAGAACAGCCGCCATGTTTAACTCCAGGGTTTCCAGAGGAATTTTTTTATTTAATTTTTTTGCTAAAAGCTCAACTGTCCCACTGTGTTGTGATACCTTCATCAGGAGGAGGATCGAGACCTCCACCTTCATCATCTGAACCACATGCAGCGTGAAAACAAAGCGAATGGAGAAAATCATTCCTCGAGACCCTGATGAAGCCATTTGAGCGATCAGATGCTCTCAAGAGAGCTGTGGTTTTGCACTTACCCAGAAAGCTGAACTTCTTGTAAGTTCTCGTTGTGGAGGCCGGAGCAGAACTGGGCTTTTTCACCTCAGGAACCATCTCCTCTGCAAAACCACATTAGAGAGTTTAAAAACAGTCGTGTCGTTTGTTAAAAGCTCCGTGTACAGAAACGCACCTGTGGTTTTGCTCTTGTCTCCTGCTTTAGAAGACCCTGTTCTTTTGGAGTCCTTCCTCTGAACAGGAGCTGAGCTCGGCTTCTTCTGCGAGCCGAACAGATCTGCATCCATGTCATCCATGTTCTGGAACGAACAAAATCAGAATGATGTCATCTCATATTTCAGCCAATCAGAAAGCAGCAGCAGCATCTTGATTCACCTTCATGCTGTCGAGCAGAGCGGCAGGATCGGCCTCGGACACGTCAGAGCCCTGAGACACATTACAACACAATCACACACACACAATAATACAACACACAGAAAGCCAAATTTACAGACATTAATGTTTTGGAAGTGTTTAAATGCTAATTTTCCAGTTTAGTGGACATTGAATCTGGATTTACCTGCAGTTCTTCTGAGATTAATCTGATCAGTTTATCTAGAAATGAGCTGCCTGATCGAGTTTGCTGTTTTGCTTGTATTAATACATGTAATAGAGAATTTCACACGCAAATAAATGGTATAAAAATATATGGTTACACTTTAAGGTGTCCTTGTTACAGCGTAATTATACATTTAACAACATGCACTTACTATAGAGTCAGGATTATGGTTTGGTTTATGGTTAGTTGCATGTTATTATGCATAATTATTACTATAGTAAGTGCATGCAACATGTAACCAAGACACTAAAATAAAGTGCTTTTTCATTATTTGTCTTCAGTATTCTCTATAGTTTTTACATAAAAATGAAAACAACTGGTAATTTAAAGTGTGATTTCTGCACTGTTTCTAGTACGAGTTATTTATTTTTCTGTATTCAGTGTAATAGAGAACTTTACACTAGAGATCGACCGATATATCGATTTACCGATATTTTATAACGGCCATTAATGCACAAATTAGATGTATTACGTAAATGCCTGATATGCAGTTTATGCAGCTTGGCTCGAAGAAATAGAGACGAACTCACGGAGTCATGTAAGATAATCCGTCAAGTCCTGTCCCAATAAAGACGTAACTTTGCGTGAATTAAATAATATGCAGCCATGAATGGGCGCATGTTGGAAATAAAAGTGCTGAATTTAATTCGCTCTCTGTTGTCTATATGCTCATCGTCTCATGAAGTCGGAGTCACGTAGGCTAAGATAATCCGTCAAGTCCTCTCCCAATAAAGACGTAACTTTGCATTAATAAAATAATACAACCATGAATGAGCGCATGTTGGAAATAAAAGCACTAAATTTACTTCTCTCTCTGTTGTATATTTGCTCATCATTAGTCTCGTGAAGCCGCTTTCATATTGCTGTTCACTCACCGGGTTGATGCTCAGGAAATGCTCCAGCACGGCCACCGCATGTAACTTTTAACAGGATTCACTTGTTTAAAACACCCTAAATTGTATTAACATTTACTATATAACCATTATTTCGCTAATAAACATCTAAATAGATACAACTCTATGGAAATAATTGGTATCAGTATCGGTTATAAAATATCAATATCAGTCGATCACTATTTTACACACAAATAAATGTATCACAAATTACCCAGATTTACAGTAACATACACTTTTGGATGCTTTTAATCTGAGAGTGTCTCACCTCATCATCTCTCTCAGCGTCTTCTGCCAGTTTACTGAAGAAATCATCGTCCAGCAGCGACCTGAACACAAAGAGAGCAGCTTTATGAGACGTTTACACCGCTGACAGACAGGCTTGCTGCTTTATCTGAGTCTCTGTTGATGTTCATTACAGATGGTTTGTGGTAAACAGCTGTGTATATTTATGTGTATATGTTCTTGTGTATTAGGTACTGTTACCCAAATGAAGCTCAGCACAAGCTCACCTCTTCCCGCTGCGGGACGGGAGGACGGCTGCAGGTCTGCTGGACACAGCAGCAGGGGATCGCACCTTCACCGGACCTGTGGACCAAAGACACTCGCCTTTACAACAGGTAGAACACATTCAGCTCTATGAAAATACTGTGACTGGATCAGTGAATGATACCTTCATCATCATCATCATCATCACCCAGCAGATCTCCTAACACGTCATCGATAGAGCCTGAAAGAATGAAATATTACAGTTCATATAACACGGTAATTAAACACAGGTATGAGCTGAACAAAAACTCACTTCTGAGCCCCTTCTTCTGTTTTGAAGTCTGCAAAAGATGAAGATGAGACCATTAAACACCTTTTTATGCATTTTACAGTCTCTTCTGATAACTTTATTTGTGCATAAATGTCCATGTCATTTATTTTACTATAATAATGCTTTACTATATGTGTTTTATTGTATTATTACACCACAGAATAAAGTCGTTAATGTCACATGACCCGGATTTGTAGCAACATGCACTGATTTATAAGAATACATAACGTAATTATACATATTGTAGATAATTAATCCTAGATTACAAATTAAATAGCAACAACTTTTGATTACAAGCTGTCTAAAATAATTATGTATTAAATACCGTTATTATTAATTGATGTTATTAAGTTCTGTTACTACTAGTAGATAAGCCTCCGCCCCACACCCCTCGTGTTCGCCTCACTATATTGTATTACTTTGCATAAATTAATTTTACTTGGACTTTACATGTGTACTGTGCTTTATTAGTAAGAAAACTCATTTTTACCATGTCTGATCCCCGGCAAGAGAAACTGACTGTTTATGGTGAAATCTGTGCGCTTGTCCGTTACCAATGGAAACCAGACGCGGATCAGCTGATCATCATTAAAATGCTGCTCTGGACCCGTTAAAGATCCACTTCCGCTGCTGGATCCGGTTCTGGTTTTGTCTGGATGATAGGGATACAGACAGGATTTGATTTTAACGTTACTTCTCAATCCTCAGGTCTGTGTTCTGGACGGGAAGAGCTTTAGTGTTGATGAATGAGTTCCTCGGAGTCAAAGATCCGGCGTCTCTGCGACCAGACCCGATAAATAAACCCCCGCTGTAATTCTAGAGAAGAATTAATAAATAAAACACTGTTATTTACATCGTTTTGAAACACTGTGGTGAAGCAGTACGAGCTGTGAGCTCTACGGGTTTGAAATTCAGTGACGCACTTCCTGTTTACAATAGGGCATTGTGGGTAGTGTAGTCCACGTGCACGCAGCAGTCAATTCCTGGTTTGCACTTTGACTTTGTTGTTGTGCGATAGGAAGAATGCAAGTCTTTTGGTGTTTAGGGAACATACAGTGCAACGGTGTTTTATAGTATTTAAAGGGTTGACTCATAACTAATACATTCGAGCAGTGGCACAGCTTTCACAGAAGCCAGTTTTCTCATCATAGTAAAAAATAATAAACGGGTGTCTGCCATTCATTCATTCATCTGAGGTGGAAATAGACTTTTGCTTACTTCAGTTACTACATCTCTTTCAGGACAACTTTTCTTGCAGTCCTCATTATCAGTTTATCATTAGGTGACAAATGTCTTCGTCAGAGGTCATCACACCACTCCAACACCAGCTGCACGCTCAAGTTCTTCTTATTGTTTTGCCAAAAATATCCTTGTTGTGTTTCTAGTCATTATCAACCGTATTTTTAAGTTGCAAGATAGTTTATGGTTACTACAGATAGTAGCTGAACATTATATTTCAATGCAAGTGAATCTCTAAACCAAACATGTAATGAAGGTTTCATATAGGCTAAGATGGATAATAAACCCTTTGTTTGGCAGGCTAAGGTTAGGCTACATATCAGCACTCTTTGAACACTCCCATTATAATCAATGAAGTCTACACCGAACAATAACTCTTTGATTTGCACCATGATAGTCTGTATTTGATATGCTCATCCTCTTATCTCATGGCAGCTGTTGTGTACCACAAATTCAGTTTTTGTTTTTTTTTAAGTTTTAAAAAATATCTTAGAGAAGAAAGCTGGTGTAAAGAAACACAAATGACTTTTTATAGAGTTTATTCATGTTATGACCTTTGTTTTTAAATCTCAGCAGTTCTTTTGTCAAGACTTAAGAACTGGGGCCAGTTGCATAAACTTCTCCTCTGTGTTAAGACAGTGTCTTAAGAACTAGTCTGACCAACTAGCAGTTAGCCAAGCAGTAATCAGTCTTATTTTTTGGATTCAACATAGACTAACAGAATTAACTACATATGACCAGTCTTAAAGAAAAAAAAATTTGATGACTAACTTGTAAGACTGTCAAGAGATTGGATCACAAAGTCTTTGGACGGATCTTTATACCAGATGTAAAGAGGGCTATAGATGCACCAAATTACTTAAAAAATAAAATAAGAATAAAAATAAAGTTTACTGTTCATATTCGTATTTTTCGTGACGTCTATAGGCATTATAGGCATTTTTTCCATTGAATCTGTTTCTAAACAGTTTCTGAGGCTGAATGTAGAACTACTTTTCTATTTTAATGTTTTCTGATTACATTTCATCATAATATTCTTTGCTTTCACTCTTTCTGATGCCCCTCCCCCCGCATAGTTACAGGAAGTTTCTAAAAAAATTTGGAAAAGAAAGTGAAAGCAGAGATAGCTCTACGTGCGGCTGCTTCTTCACATAATGTCTGAAACAGCTTTGTTTTTCAGTTACAGCAGATAAATAATGTTTTGCGTGATTTTGCATTTCAACATGCACTTACATAAATGCATGTTCGTGGCAGCACTAGTATTTATGATCTGTGAAGGTAAGTATAGTATCCATTTACGTAATATATACTCATTTGCATACTTGTACTATAACATGTTTTTTAAGTCAAGTCACCTTTATTTCTATAGCGCTTTATACAATACTGGTTGTGTCAAAGCAGCTTTACGGTGTTAAACAGGAAAATAGATTGTCAATAATGCAAGAAGACAATAACAGAGTAATTTTTCCAGCTAAAGTCAGTTCATTGATGATTCAGTGACGTCCTCATCTAGTTCAGCTCTTTTCCAATACTGTCTGTGCAATCAGTCAAGTATCCCCAACTAAGCAAGCCAAAGGCGACAG